CTCGTGTGCACTATATAATAAACCTGAATTATGACAAGTGTGGTCCCTAACTGAAGCCATGTCCATACACAAAAATCTGTAGCTCAGGTGTGGTGGCACTTGACTCCAGTAATTTTTTTCTCTCAGGGAAGCAGGCTAAATATCAAGTGAGTAGGACTGGGCACTTTTATGTTGGATATATTATGGATGTCTGCACTTGTATATGTGCTCCGACATGTTCTGATTAGATGAATCGAGTCTGCTGGAACATTCTAATCAGAACGCTCCAGTGTGCTGCAACGTCTCGTGTACTCAGTGTCCCACATTTCAAAATGGTGGCGGGGACACTTTAACTAAAGCTTGTTGAATGAGCTTTAGTTAAAGCATCTCCACCACCATTTTGAAATGTGGGACACTGAATACACAGGAAGCGGCAGGTGTTTTAATTAGAGTGGCTCCCAAGAGGTGCCCTCTGTAAGATGCCCCACCCTGGAACATGTGTACTATGTGCCCAATGTATCCACAGTGCTTCTCAATTAGCTGTCTGCTGTCCTTGAGAACCACAACTCCTCCAGTGCACCCCAGAGAGGGGCAGATAATTTATAGGGTGGATCAGCATATTGAAACTTAAGGAGCCATGGGATCTGATTCCTGAAGACTTAGTGCCACACATGAATAACTACCAACTAGTGTGAACACATCAGTCAAATGTTTTGCGGTACAGCTGCTGTTGCTAAAGGTAGGCTAACCTAAGAGAAGTAATTCAAGCATAGCTAACTCAACTAACTGCAAGGAAAACATTAGAGTACAAGCATTTAGGACAGGGCTTTTTCTTCCCCTGGGTTGGGAATTGTAGGGGCTAATAATATGTAAATTTAATACATTTGTTCTGCTTTCCTTGCAGTGTTAACCTTCACTTTTTCTCTTACTCCTTTCCCGTTAAGTGTTTTTTTTAGTCTCTGATGCATTATTTTCACTGCCTTTTATCCACGAAAATATTTCACTCACTCTAGATTCAAATAGAGTGGCTTGATCTTACCTCTGTAGCCAGTAAACAAATTCAAGGTGGATCAGGTGTCATTAGAGTTGATGTCCTTGGGCATGCATAGATGAAATGAGGGCCCTAAATTGAAGCGGTGGGTTTTTAAAAACACCGCTTCAATTTAGAGCCAATTAAACCCGTGTCGTACACACACCCGACTTACCTGCCTCTCCCACAGTGGGGAGGGGAGGGGCAGCTGCCGGCAGGTGGAGCGGTTCCTGGGCTGCGGGGGGGACTGGTGCTTCTCTCAGTGGCAGCAGCACCCCCCCCAGGCAGCACCCACATGCAGGCACCTGCCTCTGGTGGTCCTGTGGGGCACAGCAGCCATGAAGGAAAGCACCGGGCCCCCACGCAGCTCAGGCAGGCAGGCAGGCTCTGGGGGTGGAAAAAAAATCAGGCTTGCCAATTTTTTTTCCCCTCTCTTGGGCAGAGCCTGCCTTCCTAGACTGCTGCCAGACTGCCTGCAGGGTTTCCAGTGGACCCCCTTTGCTGCACAGAGCCCGGTGCTTTCCTCCGTAGTTGGTAGAGTAGCAAACTAAAACTCCTCAAAGGAGTTTTAGTTTGCTGCACCCCAAGTCATTTAAGGTACATTATGCCACCGAATTTGCTACAGCAGATATGCCACGAACACATGCAAAGACTAACACCATTAAAGCAATGCAAAAGCACTTAGCCCACTTTAAAGTGTCATGTACGCATGCCCATCATTTCATCTATACACGGCCCTCGGGAACGCTTGGAATTTGCATTTGTGTAACTGGTCCCAATTTATTGTTGCAAAATTTCTGTTTACGACATCAAGTCCTATTAGCTGCCTTGAAAGAATTAAAATGCAAAGGCATTCTTGGGTGGTATAGTCCATTTTGTTCTATGTTCTTTAGACTTGTATTCTACGTGTTACATGTTACTATTCCATTTGTTTGATTTATGCCAATTTTCATAATGTCCAGAGAATTTCTAGACACTTCAGAGTAAGTTTTCTAAAGTAATTTCATCTTTGTAGCCACAAGTTTTAAATATGTAAATTATAGTATCTAGATAGCTGATATAATTTAAGAGGCCAGATGAAATTTAATCTTTCTTGTTTTACAGGCTTTTCTATAAGAGGACCTATTCTACCCTCATGCAGCTTTGGATACATTTATTCCAGAATCTGATGATCTTAAAAAACTCCACTTTCAAATCATATCTATACTAGATCTGTTATCTTTGCATTTATTAACAATTTTCTGCAAACTGCAAACAGTTGATGTTTCAGTGGGATTGCTATATTAGAGAGAGTTTTCTTCTCTTAATTTGTAGATGATTTGGTTTTGTCTTTATTACTTGCTTTATCACTTTTGGTGGCACCAGGGAAAGAACTAGATCAGAGTGGGCAAAATATGGCTGATGGGCCAGATCTGGCCTGGCAAGCCATTCTTTCCAGCCCGTGGGGCCCCTGAAAAATTTAGAAAGTTAATATTTATCTGCTCCTGGCTGCCTGTCACAGATGACAGGGGCAGTAGGACCCAGGAGAAGCCGGCAGAATGCAGCAGAAAGGCCATCTTGGCCAGGGAAAGAACTAGATCAGAGTGGGCAAAATATGGCTGATGGGCCAGATCTGGCCTGGCAAGCCATTCTTTCCAGCCCGTGGGGCCCCTGAAAAATTTAGAAAGTTAATATTTATCTGCTCCTGGCTGCCTGTCACAGATGACAGGGGCAGTAGGACCCAGGAGAAGCCGGCAGAATGCAGCAGAAAGGCCATCTTGGCCCCAGCCCCCTCCTACCCCTGCCCCATGCAACCAGAAGCCACTACCTGCTGCCACTTTCACTGCTTCCCTGCACACCCACCAGCTGCTCGAGCACCATGTGGTCCCCAACTGCATGATCATATCGTGGGAGCATGAGACCTGTGCTGGTACCCTGGAGCCAAGATCTGGAGGGTGTGTGTGTGTGTGTGTGTGTGTGGGTGTGTGCATCCATGTGATAAGGGAGGGGGAGAGAGAGAGAGAGAGAGTGTGTGTGTGTGTGTGTGTGTGTGCATTGAGGGATGGGGAGAGAGAGACAGAGAGCAATGAGGGAGGCAGAGACACACCCCCTCACGCTGCCATATATGCAGACCCCCACACCCCCATCCCCTCACATACCCCAGCCACCTCCTCCCATACCCACCCACTACCATCCACACCAGAAAACCCCCACACCCTCCCCCACCCCCACATACCCACACACCCACAGCCCTCCCCATGCCTCCCACCCACCACAATATACAAGAGTAAGACTTCCTTTTAAGCTATTGTGCAATCACCTCTATGCACACTATACAAACACATGTAAACCAGGACAAAATATTTTTTAAAATCAATTAATGAACGTTGTAGACGTTCGATTTTTAGAATATAATTTGGTATTTTTCTGGTTCTGAGATGGCAAAACCCCTTGCTGAGAGGAGTATTTCTGGGGGCAAAGTGAGGGACTTCTGGTGGCAAAGGTTGGGGGTTAGGAGGTGGGACTTTTGGTCCCAAGATGCCAACCAGGGGATGGGGCACTTGTCAAGGGGTGGGGCTACCCATGTGGCCCTTAACAGCCTGCCAAAACTCAGTAAGCATCCCTCCACCTGAAATAATTGCCCGCCCCTGGACTAGATGAACCAGTAGAAGTTCTATTCACACAATCATTTGGACTAAACAACAGCCATTATCCTCTTCACTACAAATCACATGACAATTCATTAGCCATTTTTCTACTGCACTAACTTGCCTAGAGCACTGTCTTTGGAACTGCACTCTTTGCTATATCCAGTCCCTTTGTGCTACCCTCTGATTCCATTTACTGGGCTGAATATGTGACAGACTTACCTATTTCAGCTATTCTGTATTGTTTGACAGTTCAAGAACATGCCGTTCAGCTGCAGGTTCAAAGATCTGTTGTTACATGGGGTTTTTAAAATCTTTTTTGGTTTTGGAATATGCAGTGTAACGAGTCAGGAATGTTTTTCTTGGCTTGGGTCATTTGCAGTTAGAATGTGTACAGACTATAACTCATCATTCTGGACATTTTCATGCATTTTTTTTAACGGCACTGTCAAGTGCTAGTATGTATAGATGCAGTGGTGTTGTATGTTACTTTCTATACCAAATTCATAGAGGATGTGATTCTGCTACTTTCTTTAACCCAGTGTCCAGTTATATCCTTTTAGCTCCATAAGCACGAGTTCTCTAGTGTAGGCCAACTTGATAGCCATCAAAGAAGCAGGGACTTCTCCAGGACTGAGACTGTCATGGGCTTCAGAGGCTTGGGATAAAGTTCCTCTGTCCAGAACAAGCAGGTAGCCTAGTGCTCACCAACCAGTGGATCAAGATCCACTGGTAGATCTCAGAACCTCTTGTGTTAGATTTTGGAGTCTCTTAGAATTGATCCAAGGCTGAGGTAGGGGCCTGAGTGTCCATGTGCATGTATGCGTGTGCCCTAGCCCAGCAGGTCAGTCCATGGGGGAGGGAAGGGTGGGGGCTAGATTGAGGCCCCCACGGTGAGGGACAGTGCCACAGAGGCAGAAGCAGAGGTAAGTTGAATGGGGCCCCAGCCAGGTGGGACTTACCTACTGGGGCGGTGCACCCCCAAATTAATTTTTTCTCCCTCTGCCTCGATCTTTCCCTCCCCCTTCCCTCCCCACAGACTTACCAGCTGGGCGGGGGAAGGGAGGATGGCGGCAGCACACAGTAGATCTTGGGTTGCTTTTAAATGCCAAAAATAATCTCCTACTTAAAAAGGTTGGAGACCACTTGTGTAGCCTATTGGTCAGTTGGCATGACACTTCCTGTCTGCCCAGTTCACCTGGGATATTGGATAGGTATGGGCACTACATGTGAACAGAACAGTTTTAGCTTCAGCTTGGAGAAATAACAAGTTTCTTACAAAAAAAAAATCTTCCCAGGCTATCTGCAAATCTGTCAGGCAAGAAGAATGAGAAACACCTGTGCACTCTCATGAAACATGTCAAATTAGCTTTTATTGGCTAGATTCCTAATCTTGTTTACATTCCCCTTGTGCCACTTCACACACTTGATATGGAAGATCTTATTCCAAAAATGCCTTATAAGCAAACAAAGAAAGAATCGGCAACATGTTTTCATCAGTACTAATAGGCAAAAACCAGATGGCTTATGTAGATCATGATCATGCATCACTTTGGCAATTGACTGAACATCTACTAAGTATCTTTCATGTCTAATTCTATGAAAAGTACTGATGTACTGTACTTTGAAAGCTGGACTAAGGACAGTTTTCCAATAGCTGCAATTCCATGGCATTTGTTCTGCAAACACAGATAAAGATCTGTCTCATTTTTAAAATGAGCTTATGTTTACACAAGGACTGAAAAAATATACCTCATGGCAGTTTAATGAATGCATGTCATGAGTTTTAGAGATAAAGGTTGAAGCTTGATGACTGTTTAATCTCATAAAGAGCAGTAGAATTTATTCAAATGTTTTTGCTGTCTTGGAGCCTAACAGTGAGAACTCCACATACTTACATGTTGGTCTACATTAGACAGGAGTCATCAAAAGGAACAGAGCCAGAGGACATATTCTCAACCTATTTCATCATTGGACCAGTTGTATAGTATTGTCTCTGGCAGGAAAGTTGTGACTAAAGTCCCAAATTATCAAAGATATTTTAAAGTTTATATACTGGTGGAAGAAGAACAAAGTTGTATATGAGAACAAATCCTGCTCCAGTTATCCGAGGTCTCCTATAAATTGCTATGCAAGGTGCGGATGTATTTTAATATCACTACCAGGTTCTTCTAATTGTCCTCTGTTAACAGCTCTGAGTCTCATGTTTTAATAGTTACAGAGTAGCTGATTCATTCATTCATTATTGTTTGTGATAGGAGCGGGGTTGTGATATGCCTGTTGCTCATGGCTAAAAAGTGAATTTAGGACAACATTTTAAAGATTATGTATGTGAATAAGGTTGTAAGGTGGTTAACTTCAGACAACCAAGCTCTGTATATTTGGCCTACATTTTCTTTTCAGTCTTTACAGTGCTGCTTATATGTGATCTATTGTGAAGGTTCAATCAAACTCTATCTTGAGAGGTAAAACTGCTAGCAGAAGTCAATAAATGTCAACAGAGCATTGACTTTAGTAGAATTCAATAAGGAATTATGTGCATGAGGCCAACCTTTGACCCCAGAGGTGGAACAGAGCAGCTGTGACTCAGAGGGCACCATCAAACTGCCGCGATGCCAATAGCCGCCGTATGGTTAGCTACTCCTGCAGTGATGGCTATTTCTGCATTTCCCCCCCAAAAAATGGCACCAGGGACTGTTTCTCCATTTGCATCCCCTCAGTTACACTATTGTCTGTCCCTGAAAAGCGGGAAATTCTGATCACCGTGCTAATTCCAAGAAGAACCTGGAGACTATAGGGTGGCAGTAAAGCATGCTGCAGAAAAAGAGTAATACAGATTGCTTGCTTTCCTTACTACAGATCCAAACAGAATAGGCCCTATTTTCTGTCAGGGGAGACATGAAGAGCAGAAGCCTGCTGACTGGGACTAGACTGAGTGAAGCCTTGCAGTCATGGTAAAAAGAGAGCCATTAGGGAAGCCGGAGAGGATGGACTAGTGAGAAGGCAAGCGGACAAGTGAAAGTAGAAGCCTGGAAGAAGGAAGGATGTGAGCATGTTGGAGGCTGATGTTGGCCACTTAATTGATTTGGGCTTCAGCACTGGAGGAAGAGGTAGCAAGAAGGTCAAGGCTCTTCTGTGTTTTCCTGGTGCCACGTTGAAGTATATTTACTGAAATACCTGCCACCAAATGCAAAATACACCTTTTAGAACCCTATCAGCAAGAAGTCTGAGCACTTGCTACAAGCAGAGTAAGATGAAGTCCCAAAAACCTAGGAACAGGCCAAACAGTCTAGAAAGAGCAAAAGTCTTTGTGAAGTTCCTGCACTGCAAAGTTAAGATATGAAATAGCATTATTTTATTTTCCTAGCTCTGGAACTGGTGGACTTCTTAGTTTAGGATATAGTTAACCTACCCAGAGCTCCAAGGCAAAGTATGCAGAGCACAAGATAAATTACCTAGAGTGGGTGCGAAAACTGAGGCAATGCCTCCGTAGGATGGATTGAGAGCTCTCTCACAGAGCTGATGAAATGAGCCCCTGATGTCTAACTCAGTAGTACTTCCTAGGGTGGATGAGTGTAGGTGACCCATAGGATATACTTACTTCCTACAAAAAAATGTGTCCAAAATAGGGTAGAGAGCAGTTTTGAATGAAATTAAAGCAGTCAGAAGTTCAAACAAAATGGCACTTCTATTTCAAAACAAGGAATGTACAAAACTCTATTGGTACATAAAAGTACAATGGATCTTGGCCTTTAGTTCCTACTGATTTATTTTATTTATGATTTATAAATATGTACTGATTTCAAGTTCTGGACACTGACGTAATGTAATATCACAGTTTCTGAATATAATTGGTTGATGTTCTCACACAAACAAATACATTCCAGCAGATGAGATAACCCCACAAAAAAGCCTCTCCAACAGCTGTCTTCAACAGCTGGACAACAAGATGTGGTGAGACATCTGACAATTATACTGAATGGTTGAAGGCCAAAAGCAAAGTTTTTGCTGGCAACACTCTAGGAAACATACTTTAATGCAATGTTACTGAGAAAATGTTCTAGTCCTTTCTTTCCAGCTTTCTAAATACTTATTCTTCATTCTTGTACGAACTTGTTTTTCCTAACTCCTTTAAAAATATACATTCCTTCAAATTCAGTGGAATATTTGTAAGTTTTTAGTCCTTTTGAAACAATCCTTATCAGTTTATTGCCAAATGATGCCCTACTATAAGCAAGCTTCTAAACAAAATATATTTTCTTTCCAGAGAATGTCTCAGGGGTCCAATGCAAGTCACTGCAGGCACAGTAATATTCAATAGCCCCCCTGGAAAGATTTCAATGTACAATTTCCAAATCTTGATCAAAACAGTTGTAAATTCACACTAACTTGTGAAAAGTTGCCATTGCAGATATCCTTTATGCAAAATATTGCATTAAACCCTAAAATAGCTAGCAGCAATAGTTTGCTGTTTCTTTTTTTATGGACCACCAACAAATCTGCTGAGAGAATGTTCTATAGCTTTGCAGTATGCACAGGGCAAGCAATTATTTACAATATTCTACAAAGAAGATGATATCCCACTGTCTCATGTTCTTTATTGTTTAAAAAAAGTATTTATTAATGGTGGCAACGGTGGCCACTTGACACAGACAGTGAAGGGAAAATTTAAACACCTTCTGCTTCACCAAATTTAAGCTTAATATATTGTTGTTATGCATTCACAAGCATAAGCATGTATGCTGTGAGTCAGAATATTTCTAGGCCAGTTTTTGGGAGCAATTAAACTGATGATCAGCAGATCCCTCCCACTCTGTGAGAGACTCCCAAGTCTAATTTAGGACTTCATTTTCTTATACTCTGAATACATTGCTTGTCATTCTGTTAGCCACTGTGAAGAGAGTTGTGGAAGAAGGTAGCCACTCTAAAATATAGAATGGTCATTATTTTAAGTTGGCATTTACCAAGATGTGCCATGCAAACAGGAATGTTTCTGTCCATAACTCTTTTCAAGCTCACAGCCTTTGACATCATCATGTCTTATACCCCCTGGAAAGACATGTGTTAATAGTTACCTGTGTACTTAACATATGGTTTTGCTTTTGTAAAACTGAATATTATTAACCAAGAAAGGAGGTGTGGGGGGAGGAGGATTGGAGGAAACTACATTTACCTGTGTCAGAAGTTTCTAAAAACACATTTATGCAAAAACTAGTTATAAAATGTATTTCCAGTTATGACGTCAGTGCTATCATTTCAGCTGGATATTTTGCATTCTGGTCTGCTTCTTTTCTTTCCTTCTTTTTCTTGCGGTTCAAGTGGAAGAATACACCCCCTAAAATCCCACCTGGTCAAATAAAGGGAATATAAAACAATTCTTTAAAAGTGTTTAAGCAAAGATTTCTTATTTGAAAATTATACATAATATTCACACCACTGGAAAGAACGGACTTCTGGGTGTTATCACAAAGGATTGGACCAGTAGTCTATCTCATTTGGCATCCTGTCTCTGACTGTGGTCAGTACCAGGTACTTTGAAGGGAGATAGAAAAAATAACCTTTTAGTGGGTAGTTATAGAAAAACATGACTACAGGAAAATTTTCTTCATTAATTCCCTTCAGTTAGGACTGTTTTATTCCATATATCATGAAAGTCAATATCCTTTATCACTTTTTTTATTCAGGCTAACATAATTGGAAAATCTCATTAGTTTCATAGTTTCAATAACTGTCCTCTTGTTTCTATGTTTTGATGAAGCACAGAGGGGTGCCTGAGTTACCTTCTGTCTGCCATTTGTTACTTTGTACATCCACTCTATTCTGTACAGGATCTCCTGTCACATTCATCTCCATAGTGTCTGAGTATCTGCCACTTCAAGTAGTGCATTAAGCAATCTGACTAGCATTTTTTCCATGGTGCTTGTTCATTTATCCTTTCCTTAAGGAGAGAAGGATGTACAGGGCACAGTTTTGTTTTAATAGGATTTCTGGCCTACTTACTTGGCTTTTGTGTTTCTTAACAATGAATGTTACACATTTATATTATAAAAAGAAGGGTAAAAAATTATGCCTTGCCCTTGGAATAGAAGATGGCTAACTTTGTGAAAGGCTTTTATTCCTGGTGCTTCATTCCACAATTTTGGATACAGCCCTGAGAAAATGCTGTCTCTGCCATGTCAGCTCTTCTTAGTCTCCATTCTGAACAGAACATTCCCAATATCTTTCATTTCTCATCACATGGAAGTCTTTCCAGCCCTCTCATCCTTAACACTGTCCAGTAAGCCTGTGCAAATAAGGAAGTATTCAATTCAGATTCAGCCGATTCAGAAGACTGATTCAGTTTGGAGATTCGGATCACTGTTCTGAATCGATTCGGATGAATCGGCTTTGGAAGATTTGGCACTGGTTCAGAGACATTCTGTGATTCAGCCGTAGACTATAAGGGGGAATCACTGAAATACCCATAATGTTGTCATTTTTTGGCAGATTTGGATGAAAACAGCAGAGAGGGTATGAAGCCTGCCAAGTTTGGGATGGTATGAAGCCATGCCTTCTGATGGCATGATGCCTGCCAAGTTTCAAGGAGACAGGTGCAGGGGTTTTGAGAAACTGCACCTCAAACTCCTGAAAGCAAAACTTGTGACATGTGTGACTTTGTGTGTGGGTTAAGTCACAGTTGGATGAAAACAGCAGGGATGTTAGCCTATAACAGGGGGTCTTCCTGGTGCCAGTTAAATGGTAGCCTATAACAGGGGGTCTTCCTGGTGTCAGTGAAATCTCTCCCCACCCACCTGTTTCTGGGCCAGCTGCCCGCCCCTCTTTTGCTCAAGCAGGAACAGCTCACAAAAGGGACAGAAAGGCTGCAGACAGAGGCTTATATGCAGTTTCTACGGCCCTCCCCCAGAGCACTGTGATTGGAAGGGGACTCAGGGAAAGATCAGAGTCACTGGCAAGCTACAGATGGCAGTCTTCCCCCCCCCCCACTTCCCCTTCCTCTTCTCAGTTTCTGTTCCCCTGAAAGACTGCCTTCTGAATCACCGAATCTCCAAATCTTTTTCCGAATATTTTCCTAATCGATTTGGAGGGGTTTTTTTGGTTTCCTAATTCAATTCAGATTAGGTGATTCGACTTCTGAATTGGGCCGAATCTTCTCCGAATCGAATTGGCGACCAAAGCTTCGCACACCCCTATTGCCCAGCTCTGAATCTCTACTAAATCTGCCTGAAAGGTCTTATTCCTGAGCCAGGGTGGAAAACCCCTTTAGATGTGGCTGAGTAAAGATTGTCACAGTCATTTCTTTAAAAAGTCAAGCTGAGTCACGTACAATTCTGTATAAAGCGATGAACTAGTTGCAGCTTTCATTGTGCTCCAGAATTTGGCCTCTTTAAAGCAGGCCAAAAAAGGCAGCAAAAAATATTTTCACTCATTTCTCAGGCGTGGCTTGCACTAGTGCTCTGTCTCTAGCTTGTGTTAAATGAGGACAACCAGCACGGTTTCATTAGGGGCAGGTCCTGCCAGATTGCCTTCTACGATCAGGTCACAAAAGCATTGGACGCAGGTGTCGTGGTGGTGTAGACTTTCTGGACTTCAGCAAGGCCTTTGACACTGTCTCCTACCCCATTCTCATCAAAAAACTTGGTGACTGTGGCACTGATTCCTACACAGTCAGATGGATTGCAAATTGGCTGAAGGGTCATACTCAGAGGGCAGTGGTGAATGGGTCTTTTTTGACCTGAAGGGAAGTGGGCAGTGGAGTCCCCCAGGGCTCAGTCCTTGGGCCCGCACTGTTCAATTTCTTTATTAGTGACTTGGACAATGGGGTAAAAAGCAGCCTGTTTAAATTTGCTGATGATACCAAGATTTGGGGTGAGGTGGGCACACTAGTAGGGAAGGACAGATTACAGCAGGACCTGGACAGGTTACAAGGGTGGGCTAACAAAAATAGGATGGGTTTCAATACTGACAAGTGTAGGGTGCTGCACTTGGGCAGTGGGAACCAGCAGCACACTTATAAGCTGGGAAACTCCCTTCTTGAGAGCACGGTGGCAGAAAGAGATCTTGGAGTCATTATTGACTCCAAGATGAACATGGGCCAACAATGCGAGGTCATGGTCAGTAGGGCTAACCGTACCTTGTCGTGCATCCACAGATGCCTCTCAAGCAGGGTCAAGGAGGTGATCCTCCCCCTCTATGCGGCACTGGTCAGGCCGCAGCTGGAGTACTGTGTTCAGTTCTGGGCGCCGCACTTCAGGAGAGATGTGGACAGCATTGAGAGGGTCCAGAGGAGGGCCACCCGCATGATCCGGGGACAGCAGGGCAGACCCTACTAAGAGAGGCTACGGGACCTGAACCTGTTCAGTCTTCACAAGAGAAGGCTGAGGGGGGACCTGGTGGCCATCTATAAACTCACCAGGGGGGACCAGCAGGGTTTGGGAGAGACCCTGTTCCCCTAGCGCCCCCTGGGGTAACAAGGAATAACAGCCACAAATTGCTAGAGAGTAGGTTTAGACTGGATAGCTGAAGGCACTACTTCAGTCAGGGCAGCTAGGATCTGGAACCAACTTCCAAGGGAAGTGGTGATGGCTCCTAACCCGGGGGGCTTTAAGAAGAGGCTTGATGTCTACCTGGCTGGGGTCCTTTGAGCCTGGTTTTCTCTCCTGCCCAGGACAGGGGGTCGGACTTGATTATCTACAAGGTCCCTTCCGACCCTACTTCTATGAATCTATGAGGAGTAAGAGGAAGGGAAGGGATTGCAGGGAAATGGGTCCTTTTTCAAAGATATGAACACAAAAGATCTTGTGTCAGGGTTTTCTCTCTGAGTTGCAGTCTGAGCCTTGTCTTTTCAACTCTTAGTTTTGTTTGAATCAAACTTTTCCCCTGTCATTATCAAAGGGCTGGTAAAAGTTCATAGGTAGTTTCTCTTTTTTTTAGTGGTTTATATATTACATAGTAAACATCACTGTGGAATCCTGGCTTCCTTTTCCTAGTTTCAGGACTGAAGACTTGTTCTCTGGTGCTCATTCCTTTTTTTTTTTTCTTCATAGAACAGAGATGATTGAAAAGCTTACATAAGTTCTTTGCTTTTAAGTCTCCTCCAAGTTTGTCTGACTTTTTCAGATATGATGTCTGGATTTTATTTAGTTTCATCTCTTTGATTCCCTCCTCTCTCTAAATCTGAGTCACAATGTCCCAGTCTGCTGACTGGCTGTAGCATCCAAAAATCACATCGGATTATGCTCTCGATTCTCTTGTTTATTTACTTACTTGGGGGCTGGATCTCATCAGGAGGTCGTCCTGACTACTTTTGTGCTTATATTTATTAAAAGAATACCCCAAAGAATTGTCTTGTTTTGGAAAAAAGTATTAAACTGTTTGTCTAAGTTCCATCTGCTCGTGCCAATCAGAATATCTTGTGCAATATAGTCTAATGATATAATCCTACTTTGTTCTTATAAATGCTGGTATTCCCACACTGCATAACAATTACAGCACTGGAAAAATGGCAAACCTAAGGAGTTAAAGAGGGTGAACAGACTGGGAGACGGATAATAATCAAAAGCTTCCATATGGGAAAGTTATAGCAATTTACAGAACAGATCTAATGGGTGTTTAGCTCCTTTAAGAAGGGATCAGAGAGACAGGGGGCCCATTTACATGTGCAGCTTACTGTGCAGTAGCCTATTTTACTGCACATTAAAGCATCCCTGCAAAAACTGTGCTAATGCACTAATGGACAGTAAAATTAGGCTACTGTGCATTAAGCATCACTAAAAAAGCATGCACTTTTGCTACTGTGCATTAGGGAAGCTAATGTGAATTTAGTTAGTACCTCATATTAGAGATACTAAATTTAATGCACAGTAGCAAAAGTGCATTAATGAATGTATAGATGTACCCAGAGAGACTACCAAGTCAGTTGGAGTAGCCCCAGCAACAGGTCTACCTCTAGAAGAGAGGAGGCAATAGAGGCATAAGTGAAATTTCTTCCAAAGCATTAGTCATCTTTCTCTTCCTGTTTATGGTTTACTGTGGTAAGTTATCCTCAAATATTTTTCATGATTATTGTCTCTTACTGAGGTTTGGAACAGCCAGGGATAGTAGCATTTTTAATTGACTTACACTTTATATCCTCTGTATTGGTGCTTTAAATCTAGAAATAACTTCGTTTTTTGGAACATCTGCTCTTTTGGTTTAATCTTTTAACAGTTCCAACTAGTTTCATGAAATTCAGGATGAAGAAAAGAAAAGTGACCATCAACATGATCATTCCTTGGCATTTGGTTATTTTGCTACTTGGAAGTGCTGGTTTCATAAACAGATTTTGTGGCAATGACGACAAGGCAAATTGTGGTACTCAGTACCCATGAAATAAGATAATATTTTAGAACTGCCATTGAAACTGGTGGTTGATGTTTTCCATTGTGCCCATCTCCCCTGCTACATTTGTGAGGGGACCTTCTATGTCATACAGGGAACATCTAAATCATGATGCCACAGCTACGTCACTGTAGCAACATGCTCCCTCACTATAGTGCATCACTACAGTGATGTAGTACCTAAAAATAACCATGCACAGTGTGCACGGTGCAGTATAGGCTGTTACTGCCCCATTGTAAGTACTTTCAAAAGGACGTACTACATGACGGTGCAGTAACAACAGCACCATAGCAGCATGTGTAGACGTGAACATTGTACCCGAGCAGACATGGATTAGCTACCTCCAAGGCAACCTCAACTTCTTATGCCTCAACCCAAGGATGCGGCCAATGCTCCACTGAAACTTATTTCCCACTTGAGTTAATGTTCGCCTGAGTTAATATTTCCACACCTGGGTTAATGTTTATAGCTAGAGTTAAAAACAGACTGCACGGCTGTGAAATAGGTGCTACTTCACAAGGAGCAACTGGCAAACAGCAGAATTGCACAAGAAAGAATACCTTGATTAGTGGAACCATTAGAGACCACTAAAAAGGATAAAGTGTCATTAATAGCCCTGGAATGAAGAGTTTACAAAGAATCAGATAGATTATAATGAGCCATGAAGTGAATTGATTCAGTCACTGCTGCCTGAAAATAAATAAATGCTGCTGCCATTGCCAGCACTTCCACTCCACTTTCGGTGGAGCAGGAATCAAAGGGGGGTGCAACTGCACCAATCCCCTACCCTCTGATCCACACCTGATGCCATAGGCTCAGTATGGGGAGGGGCAGAAGAAATAGGTCAATTGGAAGAAGGGCCAAGGTGGGCCTACACTATCCAAGAAAGCTGCTGCTTGACCAAGTTTTGAGTAATCAGAGTAGTGAGAGCTGTTGTTCTCACTGATTCTTCAGCATTTGTAGCATCTGCTTATCCAAGGAGTGCAAGATTTAAGAACTGCAGGTAAAGAAAACGTTCCAAAGAAAATGTTTAACGTACCAACGACTATCGCTACTGCAAGAAGGATACCAACCGCCATGCCGACTGACGGTGACTGTGAATTGTGTGCTAATTCAATAAAACATGTCCTGGCATCTGTACACCTGCAGATGTTTACTGTGGGCAAAAATATATCATAATATTAGTGAGATATTTTAACACCTCCATGTAACTATCTGTGAATATTACCATCATCTGAACTAATAGCACAAATTCTGTGTTCATTGTACCTTGGAGATTCAGGTTTCTTTCCAATGGTGGTTCTCCCTTGTCCTTAATTTTTAGTGGGATGTTATGCATTTTTGCCTCTAGATCAGTGCTCTTTGGGTAAAGGTAAACATGGGTACCTGTCAACATGAAATGAGACAGTCATATTAGAACAATAAGGAACTTCCACATATGCACAGCTAAGCTAATCACCATCACTCATAGTTCTACCTTACCCCTACAAATATCTTGGAGAGCTTATTGCTTTTACAAGACATCATTAGTAAAAGCATGTATGCATGCATGCATACAACATTTTCCCCTGGAGCTCCTTTCAGAGGGTGCTGTAAATGGACCTTCTGGGGAGCAGCTCCAAACATGAGAAGCCCATCCACCTGTCACCTCCACCTAGGCCATCTCTATAGGTTCCCCATGTGCAAGGGATATTTGGGATGGGCTAGAAGCAGGGCTCAGTCAGGCTGGAGTTGTGAGAGGTAAGGTGGAGGAAGTGAGTCATCTCAGGTGTTGTTACATGTGGACTGTTCTGCTCTCTGCAAAACAGTAAAGTAGCCTTCAAAATACAGGCAGAGGGAAGTACACTCCTCTGGTTCCACAAGGCCCCTGAACAGAATCCTGGACTGCAGGTTCAGAAGGATGATCATTACCATCTGATGGTCTAGTCTGACCTCTTGCGTAACACAGGCCACCGAACCTGACCTAGCAACAGCAGACCACATTCTATCTTGGGAAGCCGTTCTATAGCAGTACAATCAATTGCCACAGCAGATCTAATTAAACTACCAGTATCCCCACATTACACCTTGTGATAACCAATGTAGCAGGCCTTCTTATAGAATGCTTCTTGGGTCACCCTGGCATCATTGACACCTCTTAGGTGAAGAAGCCCTCACAAACATAACCACACCAACTATACTATGGACTGAACCTCCATAGTCTGATTCTACCCATTGCCACACAAGGTCAGTGTGGGAATTAAAAATGCAGTATTATAGGGAAAATGTAATGCATAGTTTGTTGTGGCTACTCCAGTACTTCAGTAATAGTGATTTTTTATACTTTTCTATATGCAAGTTGGTACCTATGACATTGAGGCACTTGTGTTTCTGCTCTCCCAAATTTCAGTAAAGTCCTAGTTGGCTAACTAAATTGATTTTGTCAATATGGCAAAAAGAATACAATTGCCTTCAATGACCTAAGTGTTGAAATAACCACATATTCAAATACCCATTATTTTCTCACATCCCTAATATTTTGTGTGCAATATTTAGCATAAGAATGTAAGGATGAAAGAATCATTTACTTCTTTTAAATATACAGAGTTATAAAAAAAGCCCTATGTACATACAACATTTGACATATGTTTGAGACAAAGAAAAGCTTACCATTGATTCTAGAGATCCCCCAGTTCCTTTTTATATTTTCATCACCCTCAATAGAAAAAGTGAACTCTGGATCATGTTCATCGTCATCAGTAGCTTCAATCTGTGCATGTTCTCCTCCACTGAGTGGATGGCAGAAGAATAGAGAATAATTCTTAGCTAAGCGGGGAGCATTATCATTCACGTCTCTTATGTGTAGTATGAAGATCGCTGTGGAGCTCTGAGATTCTTTACCTATAGAATTCAATACAGCATGAGTTATTCTTCGGAGCTCTGACTTCAGTCATTGTGAATCTGGGTAGGACTCTGCTTTTGAAGCTATAGCATCCTTGAAGGTGGAGGTTAGTTGTTGTGCTAGAGAGTTCCTGTCTTCAGAACAGAAGCTATGTCCAAGGGCGCACTAAGTGACTAGTGGCAGTTCCTTCTGCTTTAACAATGTGGTTTGGGTACCTTCCAGTGCTTGGCATTCTAGAGTGCTAACTGGTAGAAAAGGAAATGCAGAGCACACTGTCCCGAAGGTCCCTGAGGCTTTCCCTTCTTTTAGGGAAATATTTTGGTTAATCCTTGCAAGGGTAGGCTAATGGCAGGACCTCTCTTGCCAGCAGAATAAGAACTCAGACAGGTGGCTGGACCAGCTGCCACACACACGGCAAGCCTCACCTTGCTTCAAGATCAACTACCAGTTGCTGCAATCACAATCTGAATACCATTTTTTGCCCCCCATCCCTATTTGCACGCAGAGCTTTTGGCTCTATTGCTCTGCCCTAATGGTACCACTGCCTCTCTCTTCCTCTGTACATCCCTGAAAGAGCAATCACAGTGTAGCTTTTCATCCAAGATGACATTAGATTGCCCTGGCATGTGCTGAAAGCAGTGGAAGCTATTGGACTTTCAACTTGAACACAACCTTAATTGAGGCTTCAGATGATCAGACACAACGCAGCTGTATTAACCATTCATGCAGTTTAAATGGCAAAATGAAATCTTCAAAATTGATTGCCTAAAACCCAGCAGAAACTCGATCTGAGGTTTTCATTCTGTTTAACATTGTTCTAGTTTATGGTAATAAACTGGAATGCTGCACAGAGTTGTGTGGAGCTCCTCCACACCTAATTCTACCAACCTTTCACTTACTAAGGACCTTTCATTGGGAGGGAACTCTAAAACCTTTACTAAAGCTACTACTGTGGCTCCATTTTTAACTTTTTACAGACAAGGAAATGGACAGATAGGTGAAGGAACTTACCTATGACCACTGCAAGTCAATGACAGAGTTAGGGATGAATTCAGGTCTCATGTCTTGCAGCTCCCTGGTAGCTGCAGGTGTGAGGAGTATTCTCCCAATATTTTAGAGCAAGGGTGTCAAAGATCAGGCCTGTAGGCTAGATCTGGCTTGCAGACTCAGGTAATTTAAGCTACAGGACTCCTGGAAGGGCCAGCAACTCCAGGGTTTTGGCCCCTAGACCAGATCCAAGTGGTGGATCAAAAGGAAGGCAGAATTTTCCCTAAAATTATTTGCTACAGGAAAAAATCAACAATATTATAACCGTATAATGTATACCAGTGTAATCTTTGAAGAAAGATCTCTTCTGTTAAATTAAATCAATTGCGTGTGGTAGTTAATCTCACTGCAGCTGTTTCAGTCCACCAATTTCAATGTACAGAAAGTAAATCCTTTGGTAGTATAGTCTCCCAAGAGTAAACAGCAAGATGTATCAAAAATAATTTAAGACAATACAACTGTTACAGTTGTATCAGATATAGTTCTGGTTTCCTATATCAGCTGTGCATACAGTTTTGGAAGCCATATATGTAGGACTTTGATTACTTACTTGTCTGTATTGCAGTGACCTCTACTCTGTATGCACGTTCTGTTTCTCGATCCAAATGTGAAGCAATATATATGTCTCCAGAGATTTCATCAATTCGTAGCCACTTCCTGTTATTGTTCTTTAAGGTATATCTTCACAAAGAATAGACAATACAGATATTCTATTCAAAACCATATATTGTTGATAAAGCAAATGCCTTCTCTTCGGATAAAAATAAAAATATCTACACCAATGGAAACATTATTGAGCATTAAAGATAAAGCAATTGCTGTAGCACCCAGAGACAAAGAAGTGTTCCACCAGAAATAGTTCCACCAGAGATAGAGAGACAAAGCAAGAGACCTTTGTGGGCCTTCACGTGACTCCCACAATCTCCCGACAGCACCCTGTGTATAACATAATTATGTTGCTAAGCAAAGGTTCACATCATCTTTTTCATTTTCATTAAAAAACCCATCTCTACATCCTTTAATTTGCAAAATTAACCTTTAAAAATGTGACTTAAATATAATGTGAATGCTTGCCTGAGTACTCAGACAGACTAGCTCAAAATGTGTGTGAACTGCCAACACTAATCTCAGAGGTGCTTTATCTCTGAAAACTAATAATGATAACTTATATATTTAAATTATATCAACTATTTTGCTACAAACAGTGATGTCTCAGTAGGTATTGGAGCATGGTGAAGAGGGGTGGGGAATGAGGAAGTCTACAGTGAAGATAGGACTGATAGCAGTTATTGTTATGCAAACTCGCTGTTAAGGGTCAAAGGCTTGACTTAAGAACCTACCAATTACTAAGGATACCACCAGTTACAGTCAATGCTGCTACAGACAATGCGTATGACAAATGACCACAGTGCTTAGGCTATCTAACCCATTGCACAAAATTACACTTGGCTGCATTTAAAGGAGAAGCAAGTAAAGGGGATTTAATCTGACTGGTCAGCAGCAAGGAGCATGGTTTTCACAAATGTAAAGAAAGAAAAAAAAGGGTTTGTACTCGTACAATCTACCAAAGTGCAAGAAAGAAAAAAAAAGACTTGTAGGAGGTAGAATGGAATTAGAAAGGTGTAGCTAAGCAAGATCAATTCTCTCCTATCTATAGAGAAACGTGGATTACGGTTCCATACTGTAACCATCATTTTCCAGTGTGCATAAAAGATTGTTAGTGCAAAGCAGGGAAACACAGGTAGTAACCCTGTATGTTCCCCTTCATGTTACTCTATAAGAAGCAGAGAGATCAACCAGTGCTTAAATAGACTCTGCTGTCAACACTGGCATTCTCACTGACACAAACCGTGTGAAATCAGGATAAACTATACATTATTATATGCATGGTTTTGGGCAGGCCTCAGAATTAGATTCAACCTTTGTGTAACTTAGTCTTTTGCTCAAAGGTTCCCATTACATTTTGAACCTGCATTGTGCATTACAGTTGTGCTACTACTGCTTTGCATTAAACAAGCTAATGCACATTTTCCTAGTACCTCCCAAAGGAGCCATTTGTAGACATGCTTGCACCGCAGCACCAGGTGCTTTTAAAAGTGCCCGGCGCTGCAGCACATGCATTCGTATAAACAGCAAAATGCGCGTCCACACAGAGAAAATGGCAGCTGAGGTGTTTTAGTTCAAAAGTGTGCCACCACTATTTTCTGCAGCACATAGCAGCTCAAAAATGTATGTATACAAATGCCTGGAGATAGTAGATTTAATGTGCATTAACTAAAGCTCATTAATGCACATGTAGACATACCCACAGAGACTTAGGCTTTGAGAATTAAACAAGAAATAAAAGATCAATTTTAAAAATATTGAATGTAATACCAAACACAGGCTTTACATGAATTAGTCTTCAGTTAGTTTATGGGTATGTTGTAGTGAATAAAAAGCATCAAAAAACTCCTTTATTGATATGAAAGCGTTATTGGCCTGTGTCCTATTTTTATTCTCCATCAACTCTGTGCACAATACATTCACTAGTTAAACCCACTTGAAACTGCAAATCCTGGAAACAATGATTGTTTTCAACTCAGTAATGCCTTTCTTTCTAGAGATTTGCTGTGGCCTTTATTTTATACACCACCACAAGTCCCACTAGTTATTCTAAATGCAACATAAAACAAGAAAGTAGATACAGAAACACTGCTGGAAAAGATCACATACTACAACAGAATCACACCCAACTCTTTTCACTGTATTATTTCCCACAGTCAAATTTAACGTATACATGCATTTGAAAAAGCTTTGTATTTCCTTGTATTTTAGATGTTTCGATGGGTCCTGTTCTAAATAGATGTATTGCTGTTCCTAGCCCCAGCATTTATAACTGGATGTTCACAAACTGAAGTAATGAAGCTAGCAGCTTATGTAAGAATCCACTAAATATTATAAATGTAAATAAAGAGAAGACACTATTTTTTTTTTACCTTATTTCATCCCCCTCAGGATCATATGCCTCTGCTTTCATTACCCAGGTGTTTACAGGAGTATCTTCATATACAGCTGTTATATAAGTAAGCTGCCTGAAAACCGGTGGTTCATTCACATCAGTCACAATAACTCTGAAATAGGCAGTAGAGTTTGACCGATACTGTACTCCAGACACCAGAGGTTCAGGGTTTGTGGCCTTGATTGTAAGGTTATACACTGGAGATTTTTCAAAATCGAGAGCCTGAGTAAATGGGGAAAGGTTGCAACATTAATAACATATTAATTAATAATAGAATGGTAATGTTTACATTATAATATTCATAATACATTTATATTCATTTATAAATGGGGTGCTGCTAAAAGTCCTAGAGGGGTACCTTGAGTCTGAAAAGACTGAAAGCCCCTGGGCTACACAGTGGAAGCCTTCCTTGATAAACAACAATTCCAATAAAGGTTGTAGCTGCTTTCCCCAAATTTAGCATTTACCCAAATTTTCCCAAATTTTATCATCTTATTTGCTACAGGGAAGGAAGTTCTGGTTCACAACTGGTTAAAAATTCTTACATGATTAGTAAGTAAGGCTGTCAAACGATTAAAAAATTTTATCGTGATTAGTTGCACAATATAAAAAATTAGTCGTAATTAATTGCAATTTTAATCACACAGCTAAAAACTCAAAAATATGCACAGAAAACTCAAAGTTATGCAAAATTATGCAAGTACTTTGTATGGTTGAGGGGTGGGGATAGGGGGTGTGGGGGTGGGATTTGTGAAGATGTCGGGGACTGTGGGTGTGTGTGGGGTGTTTGGAGCCTGGGGAGGGGGATTCCTGCATACCCTGGCAGGATGTGGCATAATGAGGGTCAGGAGTGAGGGGCAGCAGCAGGGCTGGGGGAGCTGTGGATTGGGAGTGAGGGGCAGACAGGCACGCGCGCACACACACACACACCACACACACACACCCTGCCCAGCAGGTAAGTCGGGGGGGGGGGGTGGTGAGGAAGAGAGGGAGGGAAGGGATGGGGATGGTCAGATCAAGGTCCCTATGCTGAGGGAGTGGGGCAGATGCAAAGGGAGGGGCTGGCATGAATGGGGCCCCAGGGCCAGGGTGGGTGATGGGATGGAGCCACAGCCCATCTAGGGGCATGGAGGGGGCTGCTCCCACTGCTGTGCATGCCCCTGGGGAAGACATGGGGGGCATGTGCCCCCCAAATTTGTGCGCAGGGCAGATGCAGGCTGCGGGCTTGGGACTCTGCATCTTGCTATTGTTGCCCCAGGAACCACGTGACACCATGCTGTGCCTCCCACTGCCAGGCAGGCAGGGGACATGATGCAGCCAGTGTGCAGCTCCCAGGGCAAAGGCAGTGGGGCACAGAGCCCCAGCCTGCAGTGGCAGCCCACCTCTGCCCTGCACACAAATCCAGGGGGCACATGCCCCTTATGCCTCCCCTGGGAGCGTGCACAGCAGCGGGAACCCTCCCCCCCCATCCAACACAGTCCCTGCCCCTGCCTCTGCCCCACTGCCTCCCTCACTATGGGGGCCTTGATCTATTGTCCCCCCACCCCTTTCTTCCCCCATGCCCCTTCCCCTTCACAGACTTGCCTGCTGGGCACTGCTCTCACACTGCTGAGCTATGTTCTTGGCCACCTGCAGGCTGCAGCTGCTCATCTGTGTGTGTGTGCACCCCTCCCCACCTGCTGTAGCTAACTGGAGCCCACACCTGAGCTGCTCTGTGGTCTTCTGCACTGCCACCGCTGCCCCACAGGATGGCTTGGAAGTAGCAGTGACAGTAGAGGAGCAGAGCCCAGGTACAGGCTCCAAAACAACATGCATGATTAATGCATTAAAAAATTAACACAAACAACTATTAACACGTTAATTGTGTACATTAATCATGATTAATTAACAGCCCTATTTGTAAGGGAAAAAAATCTAATAATTATTTCCTTATAAAACAATACTGAAATCCATAGAATCAAAATCATAAAAAATTATGGTTGCAAGGGACCCCAGGAGGTCATGTAGTCCAACCCTCTGTTAAAGGCAGGACCGTCCCCACCTGATCATCCCAACCAAGGCTTTGTCTACCTGGCTCTTAAAAACCCCTAAGAACAGAGGTTCCACAACCTTTCTGTGTAGTCTGTTCCAGTGCTTTACTACCCACTTGGTGTGAAGGTTTTTCCTAATATCTACCTTAAACTTCCTTTGCTACAACTTGAGACCTTTGCTCCTTATTTTATTATCTGCCACCACTGAGAATAGAAACATGATAATCCAGAATCATGATATTCAAGCAGATTGCACATGCAGATGACTGACCGTATCCCAAATGGCTGCAGGTAAGGCCAATGATAAAATAAATTTTACTGTTCAGATGATGAGTAATAGCTTTTTTGGGTCTATAAATTCAGCTGCCTTTGAAAAAGTTAACTGCAAAAGAAAAATGCCTACACTTTTGAAACTCTTAGCAATAATTATGAGTTTTTCTATTATTAAATTAAAAGCAGCCAGAATGCATTGAACACCACAGAAAACCATAAGAATCTGAGGTTTCTACACATGCCTTTCCCAATATGTGATATACCGGATCTGATGCACTGAGTGCCCTTATGTCAACTATGTGGATGAAACTAAATGGCAACTGCACCAGAACAAACTCTCACAGAAAAGATTATAAAGGTTGGAAAACCACTAGGAGCACTTTTCTCACAGAACAACCACTGCTTCTGATCTCTCTATCCTCACGCTCAATGGAAATCCATCTAACACCTTTAAAAGGTGAACTTCAGAACAAAAATTCATAAGCTGGCTGGATACTAAACATGACATATGGTTCATGGCACATAATATTTCATCCAACTCCTATATTCTTCCTACACAAGGAAGAATAGGACAACCCTCCTCCCTTTTGATAGTTATCAGCTATCACTTATCAGCTTCTTTTCTTCTGCATGTCTGCTATCCCTGAGAATTATCTCAGCCCCTGCCCTCTGTTGTTTTTTCACTGTGCTGTGCCTGGCTTCCTGTTATCAGAGACTCAGCAGAAAATGTTTTGCATGCAGAAGTTTATCTAACTTTATTTCAAGTACAGAGTCGGTCCAATAAAAGATACCACCCTAAGGAATTCTTGCCTTCTGCATAATTTCTGGACCATCGTAGCTACAACATCACTCTTACACTACTAAAACACCACATGTACTGATTTCTTCTTTCAGTGAAAAGTACTTTGGCTTTCTCTCAGTTAATATGCACTTCAGTAGAAACAAACTCCCACTCACAAGATATTGCTATTCCACAGTGAAAGTCATGAAGGACTGGGAATGCTCAACCACTTTATAGTTCCATGCCTGAGACAGGTGTCGTGCCTAATAGCAGATTACAAACAACTGTCCTGGAGACTTCATTTTCCAGTGGCCCTAAGAAATAACACAGCATATAATACAATGATTTCATGGAATACAAATATCTACTGCATAATATGCTGTCATATATTTTGTGATATATTTTGAAGAAACTGACAAGTTTCAGTGAGGGACACATCTATGTTCATTCTCCTGACACCAGTGGGGCTTCCACATGAGGAATTCCACAACTGAATTCTAGTACAGCCACAAACTTGATATTCTAGCAAAGATTACAATGTAAATTTTATGTATCTAGCATTTGACTTAGTGGACGAAAGATGGATGGTTGGTACAATATTTGATATAATCAAGATAAAAGACATTCATATTATAATGGACAGATAAGATGTCCTTTCAGGTATATACCAGTGAGAAATAAAGCACTACTGCTGTGTAGGTTTCAACAAATTATCACCACCTTTTTATAGTAAAAAACAAAGGGCTTCAATACACTTCAGAATTAAAACCTTTTCTGCTCTGCTACAGCTATTGTGTAAAGTGTTACAGCCATCATGACTTGAATCACAAATTTTTGTTACATACTACATTTCATGATACTTTTTTTTCATTTTCCAGGGCACATGTAGTTTAACTATCAATTCTGAAGCTACTTTAATTAACTAGTTCCTTCCAGTTCAATATTACATGTCAAAGTCTCTGCCTTACAAGGAAGGGGAACAAATTTTAAACAGTGATCCGACCATTAAATACTGGACCTTGTTTAACATGTTGTAGAACAACAAGAGAAAAAAGTAAAGAAAAAAAAGTGTTTGTGCAGCTAAAACTCAGGAATTAAAGTGATCCATTTATTCACCTTTTGAATCTTGATGAATCCTCTATTTGTTTTGGGGTCTGTCTCTATGAAGAAAATTTTTCCTGGGTCCCCCTCTTCAATCTGGTAAATGATTTGAGAGCTTCCAGTGAATGGTTCATCTACATCAGTAGCTTGAATTTCTTGTATTACATTTCCTATTGGAGTATCTTCTGGAATAGTCACATTACCATACTGAGGAGAAAAGATCATTAAAGCATAAGACACTGGGAATCATATAAAGCAATGAACTTCAGTGCTACAAGCAGCTAGTGACCCACAGACAGAAACCCTGTGGGCAATTATCTCCATTTCAGAAAGAAGACATAATGGGTGTCTTTATGTGCGCTTTGGGATTGTGGGGGGAAGCGGGGCATTTTAATTAGAGGGGCTTTAAAAGCCCCTCTAATTAAAGCTCCTGCAATGTCTCATGAATTCAGCATCCCGCGCTATAAAACAGCAATGGGGGCACTTTAACTAAAGCTCATTCAACAAGCTTTAGCTAAGGCACGGGGATGCTGAATACATGAGATGTGGAAGCTGCTAAAGTGCACTAATTAGCATGCTCTAGCAGACTTGATTAATGGAGTCTTAATCTGAAATGCTGTAATAACAGTGTGTCAGAGCAGTGTCCCTGCACATCTACAGGCACCCAGTGAAATTAAGGGATAATCACATCTTCCTCTTTGTTTTTCTGCATGGTCTGATCCAGCAGATTTGTTCTAAGAATGCCTACTGGATTGAGACAGGCAGGGTCATACCTATTTTGTGATTCCCAAAGGGGCTTAATCACGAGGTTGGCACCTAGATGTCTGGCACTATCAAGACTTAGGTTCTGGGTATATCCAACAGCAACTGTTTATACACCTGGAACTTTGCTGATAAACACTTCAGCACCTGGATATATTAGACACCTCCAGGAGGAAGTGAAAGCTGAACAGCAGAGAATCTGAATTTTGGACCCAGGCACCTACAACATCAGTCAGGTGCCTCAGTTCTTTGGGCACATAGTTTACAAGACTCACAAATGTCACATGGGCAGTTTGTGGCAGAGCCAGTCCAGTGCCAAAAGACCATCTACTCTTCTAATTTCTGTGAATATCTGGTTGCAAACTCAGAAAGCTGAGTTATACCAATCAAATAGCCAGTACCTTTGGAAGTGGCAAGGAGGGGCAGCAATTGCTAAATCAGCCCAAAAGAAAGCTGGCAGGACAGGTTAAACCCTGAGTTATGCAGACTCCATTTTACCTCCTAAATGACTCCTTTATTTAGATCCCAAAGACTTGGACATCATTTGAATGGAGTGGCTTTCACTGTTAGAGCCTTTAACAACCATGAGTTTAAATGATTTATTAATGTCATCCTCTGTTAATCTTCTAATAAAAGTTTCTGTTGAATTTCTAGGCTCACAGACCTTTTTAAATATACTCTCAAACAAAAGGTACACTGGACACATGCCAACAAAATGTTGTTTTCCTTATCTCTTCAGTTAGTTTACATGGTGAGTAATCATATGGGGCTAGCCTTTTTTAATTTTCAAATGCTTATCCTTTTTTAAACTGATTGTATAAGCATGATCATACAGCACAGATTGCTATTATTATTTCAGAAAGAAAATGGCAAAATATTATTACATTTAAATAAATAAAATCCATAAAAGTCAGCTAGTGAGGCAACCTAGATGTAACTGATGGTAGATTTTGGCCAACTATTTAATCTGCCTCACATAGTTTATTGCAATATTTTTTCAATAACTCTTTTTATTGAAAAGCCCCTCTCTTTGTAGAAAGGACACTGTTAGAAATGTGGATTTATATGAAAATTATTTAAAGATTACTGGTAACATTTTAAATTATTAGAACTGAACATGCTAGCAGTAAATTTCACTTATTGGGACACACCTAACCATATTTGGGATGGGAGCAAGGCAAAATTTAAATACAACACATGAGGGCAGGGGGGTGGGGAGTCAAAGTCTTTTATTTTTCCACCCCCATTTACAAAACCTAACTTTGGAGACTAAATTTCTGGCATTGTCCCTTCAATAGACCATGGATCAGGCCCAAATGTTTAGTTATAGCTTGGTTAGTAACATCAAAAACAACATTAGAAATACTTACATCTGATTTTTCAAAGATGGGAATCTGATCATTGATGTCAATGATATTTATTTGCACATCACACTCTGTTTTAAATCCTGCACAAAACAGAACAAAACTGTATGACACACCACATTTCTGCAGGAAATGTTTTATTTTTTCTAATAGCAGACATGTGAACAACTGCACGGGGTATTACAATCAAAGTAAAATCCTCCAACCATCACAAGGACTGGCTACAAAGTACTGGGAGCCAACACAGAATTATAATTTTGAGGTGGGGACGAGGGGATTCTCTCTCTTTCTCTCTCTCTCTCCCCTTTCCTTTTCCATCTTCCTGTAATACTTCCTACATCCATTCATTTTCAGCACGTTTTATAGGTCCCAAAGTCTGCAGTGGTTGATTTAAAATAATTTACATAAAGGCAGATCTTAGTATTAGCAGCATGTGCTTCATAAACCAGGACTCAAGAAATATCTTAAATACAATAGTTTGGATATAATTTATATGAGCCTTCAAAATAAACCACCATGTTATTCACGGTTCTCATATCGCTGTTTAAGCTGCTACTGTCTAAGCAATGCTGTTTGACTAACATAAGAGACATGTAAATTTGCTTTCTCTTTGCTTTTGTGTAGTAGTGTGGCCAAGGGAAGTTTTGGCTGGCTAAGGATTTCAGGATGAAGCTTTTAATTCAGTGGTTCCCCAAGCCATGGTTTATGGCAGCATGATTCTTGTAAGACCCTCTGATGTTGCTTATGACCATGGGAAGTTAAAAAGCTAAAAGTGAGATCACCACCACTAAAGTCCAGGTTGAATATACCATGCAGAGTATATTATTTGTTTGTAATAAGAGATGCAGGTGTGAGTCTGAAGTTAGGCAGAAAGCAGGGCAGGGTGGCACCTTATAGCATTTGACAAAGTAGTCTGTAGCCTACAAAAGCTCCTGCCTGTCTGTACATGTTATTCTATAAGGTGCCACCCTGCCCTGCCTTTTGCTCCCCCACAGACCAGTGAAAGCACAGGACCACTGCTTTAAAAATATATCACTTAGTTAACTATTAAGGATTTCAGGGCTCTTCTATAACAGGTTTTGCAAAGCCTTTTAGAACTGTTTTTCTGCATAGACTATGTGGAAATTGGTTAATTGTATTGAATTCTCTGAAGTTTCTTCAATTAGACACTTTCGCCTCCTATACACATACAGGGAGGCTGCTCCAATGCGCTGTTATTACAGTGTATCAGAGCAGACACAATTAATCGAGTCTGCTGGAACATGGTAATTACTGTGCTCCAGCAGACTCCAGCATCATGTGTTTATTAGCAACCCCGCACTGAAAAATGGCAGCAGGGCACTTTAAACTAAAACTTGTTTGATGAACTTAGTTCAAAGCGCTATGCCACCTTTTTTCAGCACAGGGATGTTGATACACGTGATGCTCTGGGCGCTTTAATTAGCATGGCTCCCAGATCTGCGCTAATTAAAGGGCCCCCTACCTCCCAGAGAACATCTATAAATGCCCTTTTAGGTTTTTCATTAAACCCAAAGGAAACTCCACAAATCATTGAAGACTATTTTAGGCCCCATGCTACTTAGTGGCAATATATCGTATTTGCTTGACCAAGGTTTGCATAAGAGAAGAGGCCAAGGAAATAAACAAATGAGAGAATGGTGAGGATAATTGTACAAAGTTCCAGAAAGACAGGTCAAAAGAAGTAGGCTAAAGGTTGCCCAGAGTGCATTTAGCAGTTTTATGGTATTTAGATCAGATTTTAGCCAAGGTATCGCTTAAATAGAGAATAAAAATACATTTCTAATTATATTGGAACCTATTAAATAGGAATTAAATAGGTCTGAATTTGAGTAGGACCTAGTAGAAACATTTTTATATTTTTAGCCTTATCTAGTAAGCTTTAGCCAGGCAATAGAGTATAAAAATCTAGGTCCACTTTGAAATCTTCACTCTTTGGTCTTGAATTACAGTTCTTGCTGACTGGCTCACCTCCAGGAGTGCCTGGTTAGTGTTTTTTAAGAACATGGTTTCTGAGACCTAGGTAAGAAGTCCTTTTTCCCTAACAGGCTGGTTGTTGGAGGTTTTTCTATGACTTTAGAACTTAGAAAATATAAGAGTAATTTCTTTTAAATATTAATAAGGTTGATATTTCTTTGGATTGAAGTATATTTTATAAGTTCTAATCATTTGCTTGATATGCCTTACCTGTGTGGTTTGCTCATTTATATCTCATCTGTATTTCATTATTAAATTTGCTATTAACATTTATCTATATTTATACTTGTGTATATTTAATTTTGGTGAGGCTACCTATTTGAACCTTTCTTCATTCCCAAAATACCTCTGGAGGTCATCATCATGCATCTTCTTCAGTTTTCTATATTGTGGGTAACCCTTTCTTCAAGAGCTCACCTCTGCATCTTTAAAAAAACTAAGTGAAATTCAAAAAGAAGAGTAGCTTTCAGTCTTGCTGGGTACATCTACATGTTCATTATTAATGTGCCTTAGATACTGCACATTTAGTTTAGTACTTGCTCAATAAAGTACTAACAAAATGCACAGTAATTAGAGTTACTGTGCAGTAGCACCAGCACACAGGTATTTTGTGATGCTTACTGTGCATTAGCCTAATAACACTGCCCAGCAGGCTATTAGCATGTTTCTTAATTGCCACACTACTGCACAGTGTTATTAAACTAATTATTAAACTAATGTTCAGTAAGTCTCTCATGTAGATGGGCCTGCTGTTTAGTGCCTTTAGTGCCCTATCCTGCAACACCTAAATTTCTGAACAAGAACAACTTGGATACTGAACACTGAATCAGGTAAGGTGAAGTGTGAGATTATTCCAATGTGTAACAAACAACCATCTCTACTGACCTGCATCTGTTACTTCCACTTTCAGGGTATAGTTAGAAACTACGTGCTTGTTTAATGAAGAGCTCCTTAACTGGAATGTCCCAGCTTCTTGCTGAACAATGAATAATTTATCTACAGGAATTTTGGGGTTCTGATCCACAATATGGAATTGCAAGCGAGAATTAAGAGTGCCTTGTTGATCCATGTCTGAAGCTTCCAGAGTTCCAATAATACTTCCTAGGGTCAAGGAAAGATAGACATTAGTCAGATAACATATTTTCTCCACTTCCCCACAGAATGAAATACAAAGAACCTCAATAGTGATACAAATATTGGAGAAGCAATACAATCCTGAAAAGAAACACAGTAGATTGACTTAAAATATGTGCTCTGACTTAGCCAGCAGTTATAGGGCTTGATTCAGTTATTACTGGGAGCAATTTTATTGCTTGTATTATGCACTGTGGTTAGAGTAAATGATCATTGCAGACAATCCTGGCCTTAGCAGTGAAAAAATAATATGAAGACTTTGGGATAGATTTAACTTACAATTCCACTGGAATCAGTGAAGTCATATCTGTGCACATAAGGGGGAAAGAAATGCAATTACTCAATTAGAGCAAGCATTATATTGTATTTTAATAAAGAAAGGGGAATTCTTTTTTACATCTTAGCAGTGGGGCAAAACTGAGGCTGTGGAAGATAACAGTGTTATAGACTAAATGCAATCACATTTGAACACTGAAGGTTTGATTCGGCACCTTTAATCACACTGACTCAGTCTTTTTCACAGTTGTCAGTGAGATAGTGCATGAGTAAGCACGCTACCTACAGAATGCCTGTGGCTGCAGAAGGCCCTAAAATGTTAGCTTTAGTCCTGTTTAACGGAAACAGCATTCAGACCAAGAGAATGCTTTTGCAGTATAGGATCAAAAAATATTTTCTTACCTACATTTTCATTCTCCTGAACTTCAAATATGGTTAAAGCTTTCTGGCACACAGGTGGATTATCATTAACATCTTCCACCACAATTTGAATTTCCAAAGGCTTGTCTAGTATTTCTCCTTGTTCATCTTTTGCAGTTGCATAGAAGGTATACTGCAACAAGAATGGCAAAAGGCAAACACTATAATAGTTTAGACTGAAATGGACAACAATGAAAACCTGGTTAGAAAATAAAAGATCCTTTTGCACATTTGGTCAGTATTTTTGTACTACTTACAGGTTATTTGATGATCCCTATTTCCTTAGCATTTGAGTCAGATTCTCCAAGGCATTTATATATATTTGAGGGTCTGGGTCTGGGTGCCTCAGAACTGATCAGTGAATTTATTTTCTCAACACCCAAGAGATGTACAAATATATTATTATGTTCATTTCACTAGATGGTAACAGAGCATGATTTACCTTAAGTCACAAAAGAATGCCTGTATGAGAGTAGGACTATAACATAGTCTGCAGGGGAAACCCTGATTCCAGTAGATGTCCACGGGGAAAGTCCCATTGATTTCAATGGTCCAAGATGTCACTGTAGAGCTCAGTTTAGATCCAATCCAGAGTCTATGGTCATAGATAAATGTGTACCTGAAGTGGCTTCAACATGGCATGGTGAGAGGCTGTTCGGAAATGCAATACAGCTGTTATGCTGTGATTTACGTGTGCATGAGCCTGTAGTGCTACAAGTGAGCTAAACTGCCCCAGCTTTAACCATGGATGAGGCACAGTTAACCTTGGAGCAGTTTTGCTATACTTGTAGTACTCCACTTACAGCATAACTGCTACTTCTCATTGTTTTTTGGAGGTTTTTTCAAAAGAATCTGTCTTTTTTCCCACACCCTAATGATGACGTGTTGGTGTGGGATCAACGAATTCCCAGGCAAATGCTGGCTATGCCTTTACAGGAAATGAAAAGAGAAACATTCTGGAAAAAAATGTTTTTTTCAAATTAAACATCACATGTATAAAATTGATCTGTATATGCTGACCAATTGCTGTTCAGTATTTTATCATCTCTTTCAGCACCAAAAGGTAGGTTTAGGTCCTGAAAACTTATAATGTATATAATCTTTTTCTTAGCTCAGTCAAAAGTATGCAATTATTTCCCTTGTTCAATAATTATTGTCAAAAAGAAAATACATTTAACTCCCACATAGACTGGAAACTTCACATTATGACAGCACTCTGGCCTGTCCTTGGGGTTAATTCAAAATGCAAATTTTTGTTTATCCATTACTACAAGTCAGGTCCTGGCCAGTCACCAGAAAAAAGCAGTCATTCAGCTGGTGGATACCTGTGATTCACACATCATGAGGAAGCCTCAGGTGGTGGCAGGCCACCAGAACAGCTCCTATGTCCAACATCTTTGCCAAGTCTCCTCTTTAGTGGGGGGACTATGGCCAGGGGAAAGAGAGATTGGGAACAGTGCTGTTAAACTCTAGTGATTCCCAGCTGCCCTGAAGGCCCCCAAGAATGATGGAGAAGTAGCACAACTTAGAGCAGGCCTTGAGCTACAGTGGTAATTCAAGCTCACACTTTAACTTAACATATGATTTTAATTAGGAAAGAAAAATGAGTTTGCACAGTTAAATCCTAGCCCTATGATATATGTTACACAGTATATATATAACTCTTTGTTCCTCTTTGTAGAATGTAGGAATGCATTTGGAGAGAGAGAGAACTGGAAATCTGTTGCTATCCTAACAGGAAATGCATTTATTCTTTATTATCTGTTGTCAAAAAAATAAATCTCCATCCTATCTCCTACAGAAAAGCAGAGGGAAGATTTCAGAGATCTATGATTCCTAACCACAGAAAGCACAGTGCACTTTTCAGTCAGGTGCTGTAATACTTTCTTGGTATATATCTCATATTCTATGTACATCAGTGTAGACTATGAACACTAAAAGGCATACAGAACTAGAAGAAAAATATAAATACTGAATTAATGCCTATTGGATAAATTAATATAATCAGGTGGGATGAACACATTTGTTCTTAAATTGCATTAAATTCCATGTCTATCAACTCACTTGGATTCAACAAAAAAAAACATCAAACCAAACCTGTCCTTCCTCTTTTTCTTCCGTCCACAACCAACTTTCATACATTTGTACACACACATAGCAACTCCTCAAGCTAAGATTATGGTTAGGTTTTACAAGTTTACTTACAAAATCCTTTTCTTCCCTGTCCAATGGTTCAGTCACATAAATAGTCCCATTCTTATTGATCGTAAATGGGAACCTGGGCAACCTCTCTTTTGGAAGAAGTTCATATTTTGCATCTGGATCATTCCACTGTACCTAAAATTTAAAAAAATGAATCAAGGTAAAAGACTTTAAGAACTGCAGGCTGAGCTTTAACAAGATTAAGTGGTGGCAACCATTGATCCTCATGGATCACGGTATATGCATGAAGGCCGCCCAGACCTTTGATGCATATGCCTGGGCAGAAATTTTTGGAGGAGTGGAGGCTGCCCACACCTTCCATCCTCCCTTTAGGCCACTGAGACAGAATCCAAAAAACAGACTGAGTCTCATAGGCAACATGTACAGGGAGATATGGGGGGGCACATCCCCCCCCCCGAGATTGGCCACCACTGAAGCCACGGCTAGCTTCTGTGGGCAGTCACCACTCACTGAGTAACCCTGGATGTCACTTTTGTCTGTGTGATAGCTCTTGATAAAACACCCTTTTTTAAAAGCACTTTGAGATCTACTTATCTGCATAGGAATAAGATACTATTATTAGAATGTCATAACACTAATTTATAACAGTTTTTCATACCAATCAACTCTTCTGCTTGTCCTTTTCGTATTTTTTCACCAAAGGTTGGATGCATGCATGAAGATATGAAGTGGATAGTCAAACTGTAGGAGTATGTGCGCATATGTTTGTACAATACCTTCCAAAAATTATTGACATGGTCTGGCACAAATGGAAGTCTTTGGATACAGGAAACTTATTTCTTCATAAACGTGAAAGACTTTTATCTATATAAATAAGTAGGAGCTGCTGTTTATGCAGTAGCCAGTGAGACACCACCTTCTATTCCACAACGCTCCATAGAGAGAAGAGACATATCTGTGGTTTCCCTAGGAAATTTTGATATCGATTATCTCAATATATAGTTATTACTTTTGCCTCATGTGATGTTATCTGGACTTTCTCCCACCTGCACTCACTTTGATCCTACTTGATCCTACTACCAAGTCAATGGAAACACTCGTATTGCCTTTAATGGAAGTAGAATAAGGTCTTCTGCATGTTGTTTAAAAACCAGCTGTTCTCAGGAACAGGGTGTGTGGCATCTTGTAATACTCTAAAGATCAGAATACTGTAGGATCCAGTTCCAAGTAAACTTTCAAAGTCAAACATTTCTGGGACAATGTTTGCCTATTGGTAAATATTTGCATACATATATGTTACTTTAGCTATGCTGTTATCATCAAAGTGTTCTGCATTTGCACTGCAGAGTATCAGAGAGGGTCAGTGTTATAATATGGAATGAGGGAAATTGAAAGAAAGGAAGCTGTCTTGTCTACTAGTCTGAAGGTAGCAATACATCTTACAAGATTTTAAAAACTTGGTGGGTGTGTCTACACATGCTATAATACAGAGCAATAAACTCTGGTGCATATTGTGCCAGAGTTTATTGTTCCCAGGTGCAGCATTTCATAGATTCATAGATGTAGGGTTGAAGGGGACCCAAGCAGATCATCAAGTCCAACCCCCTGCCCTGGGCAGGAATGAATACTGGGCTCATATGACCCCTACTAAGTGAGTTTAAGCTCATATGACTCCAGCTAGGTAGTTATCAAGCCTCCTTTAAAGACCCCTAAGGTAGGAACCAGCACCACTTCCCTTGGAAGCTGGTTCCAGATCCTGGCTGCCCTGACTGTGAAGTAGTGCCTCCTGATGTCTCAATCTACTCTCAATCAACTTGTGGCCATTATTCCTTTTTACTCAGGGAGGTGCTTGGGAGAACAGGTTCTCTCCCATTCCCCTCTGGTCCTCCCTGGTAAGTTTATAGACAGCCACTAGATTCCCTCTCAGCCTTCTCTTGTGAAGGCTGAACAGGCTCAGGTCCCATAGCCTTTCCTTGTAGGGCCTGCCCTGCTGCCCCCTGATCATGTGAGTGACCCTCCTCTGGACCCGCTCGATGCTGGCCTCATCCCTCCTGCAGTGCAGCGCCCAGAACTGGATGCAGTACTCCAACTGCAGCCTGACCAGTACCGTGCAGAGGGGGAGGATCACCTCTTTGGACCTGCTCGTGATGCATCTGTGGATGCATGACAAGGTGTGGTTGGGTTGGCCTTGCTGACCATGTCCTCACATTGGCGGCCCATGTTCATTTTAGAATCGATAATGACTCCAAGATCTCTTTCTGCCTCTGTGCTTTCAAGAAGGGAGTTCCCCAGCCTATAGGTATGCTGCTGGTTCTTTCTGCCAAAGTGCAGTATCCTGCACTTGTCAGTACTGAATCCCATCCTATTCACATTCACTCACCCCTGTAACCTGTCCATAGATGCATAGATGCTAGGGTCGGAAGGGACCTCAATAGATCATCGAGTCCGACCCCCTGCATAGGCAGGAAAAAGTGCTGGGTTTAGATGACCCCAGCTAGATGCCTATCTAACCTCCTCTTGAAGACCCCCAGGGTAGGGGAG